ATGGTTCGATAGAGTGCAGAGAGCGAAGAAAGGCACTTGTAAGCATTCTCTGTGCAATGCCTCCCATGTTATCTTATAGTCTGCCAGCTGTACATTCGAGCTCAACATGCGATTGGAGGCATTGTGAAGGTCCCGGCTTTGCATGAGAAGGCAGACATGGAGGGCATACCAAGGGACTGGTACAGGAAGGAGCATTTGGATGTACAGCGCCCAACGTTCTATGAGGTTCCGGATGGAGGCTTCGTAGTTCTCCGCATGGCGTATGGAGTGTCTGCCGATGTTGAGCTGCTGGCGGTGAAGGTGGAATCTTTCGAGACTGTGTATCTCTGCGCCGCCCCCTCGCCAGCTCCCAAAGGCATCCGGTATTTTGCCATCCGTATAATGGAAGAGTGGGATATAGAATCTCCTCAACGTTATCATTTTGTATACAGCGACAAATCTGCTAAGGACAGTCTGGACTTGTTGCGGGCGACGTTCCCCGTTCGGAATCCTTTCAAGCCACCCAACATGGATGCCATGTTCCTCAGTGAATCCCTCGCAGAAGATGTCGAGCGGGTAGAGGGTGGTGAGCCAGCGGACATGGAGATTGATAAGGGTGCTTCAGTCGCTATGACTTTGAGCCGTCTTGGTTGTATTGTCTGAGCAGCGCTGTGTACGTCACATATGTTGAGTGTTGAGTGTTGTGCTAGTAACATTGTCGAATACGAGATTTGAACACATCTTGCCCCAGGCAATCATATGCACCTCTTCAAACAGCCTGAGTGAGCGCGAAGCCCTTCAGCCCCAATGATTACAGGGATGTTCCATCCCGAGGAGGAAGCAAGACTGGAGGGACATGCCAGTGTCATCTTTCTTAATATAAGGCAGCGCGTGCATCATAATGAACCCAGGATGAATGCAAAATGCCGCATATAAGCCACGTATGCCTGGCCATTGACCAGCAGGCCAATCGAACCTCAAGCAATGGGTTTACAGGATTGGGTTGAAGAATGCGCATGCTTTCCCAGTTCAGGCTTGACGGCACGATTGGAAGCATTTGAGATTTGATGCCAAAGCTATTCTTCTCGCGTAGGCAACGACGTCTTCAATCCAATAGCCTGAGGAGAGGGATGCTATGCTGAGAATGCCTTGGCTGTACTTTCGCTCATGGAAGACAGTCGGCCGACAGTAGAGGACTCTGTTTCGTATGCGAAGGCTGTCGGAGCTTGGCAGAAGTAGGCCTGTCCATATTGGAGCATTTCAGCGATGTGGACGTTTCGCTTCGACACACTGTAATTTATGTTCCATTTTGTCCTAAGCGCCAGGTTCGACAAGGATAGCATCTTCCGCGTCATCCTCATCTTGATTCCAGACTTACTCTTGCGCTCGCTCCGGTTCGGCACTTTTGACCTGGCTTGCGACCGTCGACGTACCGTTGTCCTGTGATGCGGTACCCTGAACAATTAAAAGGTGCACGGTAAGTCGGTCCAAGGTCTGGGTTCTTTCTCGCAAGGCTCTCACAAGGAGCCCGGAATATATATCCATGGATGGAAGATTGTTCTGGTGCGCATGTGATTTGACTTAGTGGGGACATCAACCTCGCTTGAGCTTACCTTCCTCATGGAGGGGAAAAGATGACCATCGCATAGTTCATTGTGCCTTTCCATTACACACCGCCAGCGCTTGTTTTGCTTCGCTAGTGAGCCCAGATGACGAGGCATCTGCAGCTAGGACAGGTGGGAAGGCTTGCATGTCTTTGGACGTACACCGGACAGGAGGGTCGAAAAATTCAGTGGAAGAAATATTGGGAGCAAGCGTCGTTACATCCGATCTTTCGCACTGAGCCGTTCTGCAAGTCGGCAAGGTCATTGCAGAGCACCACACCAGCTGACATGTGATAGCTCAAACAACGTGTTCTGAAGCTTGCGTACCGCGGTGCTGAGCAGCTCAGGCATAGAGTCAAGAATAGACACAGGCGTGCTATAGCTACTTCCTGCAAGGTTGCTAGCATAAGTCGAGCGAGAAGCTGCTCCTATAGCATGGAGTATATTACCAGGGTGTCTATGTAGTACCGAGAAAAAAGCGTGCAATACCATAGTGCAAATGGCTCCCTCCTTTAGGTGCGAGAACTCATGATGAATGGTCTTCAACGTGGTCGAAGTGAATAGCCTCATGCAAAACTTGATGCAAGCAACGACGCTTTCGTAAGAGGGCCCGTCAGTTTCAGGCGCATTCCTCATTCACGTGCTCCAGCCATCGTAGATACTCCAGGGGTCCCTCATATTTGCAGTCAGTATTTTTGGATAAGGTGGGCTATATAAAATGAAATACGAACAAATAGCAACTGCTCACAGTATATAACTGCCTCTATGTTTACCTCAAATGTCTTTGATATTACTATCGATTCATAAGAATCTCGTCATCGTCATATACCAGTCCCCACTGAAGGGACCCCTGAACGATCTCCGTAGCCCGTGAAAAGGAGTGATTGGGGAGACCAAGGTTCTAAAACGGGCACCCAAGAGAATCTCAGAGTCGCGTGAGTTCCCGTGGCTCCTGCAGCCCCCCCATCGTCGCTGTATGCACAAAGCGTTGGGGACGGTACGCAAGAGCTTGTCCCCATCGTCCTTTCTACCCGGGACCGCCCGAAGCTCGTCTCTTCTCCCCTCTCTCAGCCTCAAAAAGAGCCTATCTCGGCACCCGTGGATCGCCCTCCCTACTCCACAAGGTCGTCTCTCCTCGCTGTCTACGCTTAGTTCACCACCTCCACAAAAGATGGAACTTCCCGAGGGGCTGCCTCCAAAACAGCTTCTAAAGGTCCTAGTCCTCGGTGCAGGTGCGTCCTCCTTCCGACACAGTCGCTCTTTGAAGCAGGGACGTGACTGACCTCGGGACGCGCAGGAAACTTCGGCTCGTGTCTCGCAGATCACCTCGCAGACGTCGATCACAAAGTGTACATTGTGGGGCCCCTCGTGTGTGCCCGTGAACCGCTATTCACCCGGGGTTTAGTGGTCCCGTGAGGCAGACGTTGTCGAGGCGCTCAACGCGACCCATCGGAACCCCAGGTACCTCACCGAGCATTCCTTCCCGGAGGACATACTTGCCCTTGGACCGGAGTTTCCCGACAGCCAGATCATCAACCATGTTGATGTATTGCTGTTTGCGATCCCTACTGAAGGTCTGAGGTCCGTATATGCGCTATGGGAGACTACTCCTGAGACTGATGCACGCGTAGGGAGACTCTGGGGAAAGTGCGCGACCGCTTGAACCACGAAGAGCCGCCTCTCTTCATCTTTGTCAACAAGGGAATTGAGGTAGAAAGTGAGGCACTCCCACTCGAGATCATCGCCGACACATGTGGAGTGGATATTGCCCGTGTGTCCACTTTCGTCGTAAGTACCTCGTGATGATAACAATAAACATCAAGCTTATATGCGCACAGTCTGGACCCTCCTTCGCCAAAGAGAGTATGTCTATCCTTTCACTACAGATACTTTGTCGCTGACCCTTTTCTGGAAGTCGTTAGACGCCAGCCGACTACTGTATCAATCGCTTCCCTCTCTCCTGAGCACGCGCAACGCGCCTCGGATCTCTTCCATCAGCCTTGGTTCCGCTGCTATACCAATCCTGATCCTGTAGGGGTCGAGCTAGCAGGTGCACTGAAGAATGTTTATGCCATTGCCTCGGGTATTGCGGACGGAATGGGCTATGAGAACAACACGAGAGCAGGTAAGAAGCCTGCGAAGTCGATTGTAATTTGTAATATTGATGTTAGTGCCAGGCCTCATCACACGGTCGCTCGCCGAGATGACCCGAGTCGGGACGGCCTATGGTGCTTCACCTTTGACCTTCCTTTCTTTGGCTGGTGTCGGTGATCTGTTCTTGACGTGCTCCTCCACCACGTCGCGTAACTTCACCGTGGGACGTCGACTCGGTGAAGGCGAGCAACTCCAGCACATCATCGACACCCTTGGTAGTGTCGCGGAAGGTGTTACCACTGCAAAGGCGCTACATTCCATTCTCCGAAGGCTAGAAGTGACTGCGCCGATAGCAGAAGGCGTATATTCGGTTCGTGTGCTTCTCCGGAGAGCCACGGGACAGGGTCTTACCCCAACTGTTACCCCAGGTTCTTTACGAGGGCCGGGGCGCACACGAGATGGCAAGCGAGCTGATGTCCCTTCCGCCTCAGTCCGAGATCGACCTGCCTGTCCATATATCGAAACCCGTGCAAGCGCTCATGGCAAAGCTGGGCATCAAAGAAGGGGATCTGTCACCCCGGGCCAGTGTCCTGTCCACGATAGGACCCGATTAGTCTGTCCCTCTTGAGCGACTGCAGATGTCCACGGACGTGCCCCAGGGGGCCGTCTCATATACTCTTTGTTTTTTCCGGTATCAAATGGCTTATGACAGACTGCTTACGGCCAAGTTCAATATCGAGCACGTTGCGTCAAGATTTGCCAGAACGAACCTCATGGGACGGGTTCGAAGCAGGACATGTGAGCAATCAACCATTGACACCAGTTACTCTCTGGCGTTTTGTCCCGTTGTTTGGCAAAGAGAAGTCTGCGCTCATATCGGTCTCGTGCATGACCGTGCGAAACTGACAAGGACAAGCGCTGCCTCAACTCCGAGTTCTCCGCTCGGAACGCACCAGCTGACAGATTGGTCCCTTTGAATGGTGACGGCTGAAAGAAGGCTACGGGTACACAGACCCGTACGAGTTGTCACCGATGAGCCCTCTATGAATATTGCCAAGCAGGGATGACGGTTCTATATTGCTTCGAAACGACTGTCATTGGCCAGTTGTGACATAATCCAGCTGACTGGCATAAAGGTGCGTCTCCAATCGACGCGTGGCTCTGACATTTGGGTTGCGAATCAGGAGCGAGGCTCTTGGGGGCTGTTCGGTTAACGAAGTCCACCTTTTATTTTTTTCACCCTGGGGAGAAAAGGGACCCCGGGACCAATCGCACGCCACATACTCTTTGCCAGTGTTTTGTGCCCATTCTCCTTTGCCCTTTTGTATGCCCGGGTGAACCCGCGTTCGGCTTCCGACCCCCGAAGTGTGCTCGCGCGCCGAACCGTTTTGCTCCTGCATGCGCCCGTTCGGTGTGCAGCCGCCCAAATTTTTCTCGGCCCTGTCCTGCGAGCACCAGTCCGGCAACGCCCTATTACACCCCCCTACTTCTCTTTTCAACTCAAAACCACGCTACAAGGCTTCATTTCAAGCTTTGTGCCCCTCCCCCTCCCCACTCATCTTTCCTTTTTCTTTCACCATCATTCCCTAGCCGCCCGCCGCCGTGAAAGCACGTTCGCTGTTGCTTCACGGTTTCACTCAACCATTCGGGTATCGCTGGGGCTGTTAGGATCGTTTCTCGTCCGATCCCGCCTAGCTGTCCACTCCGCTCAACTCGCACATCATCATGGTCTCGCCGTTATGGAGGGCAGCGAGCGATGGTGATCTGGAAAAAGTGCAGGAGCTTCTTAAGGAAGCTTCCAGCGTCGACGTGGAGATCAAAGGTACGCCGTCTAAAAAAGCGCCACAGTTGGAAATTGCTCATCCATTACGTGAACAGATCACACTGGCGCAACACCACTCATCCAGGCGATCAGGAATGGACATGTCGAGGTCGTGAGAGTTATGTTGGATAATGGTCCGTTTGGGGGTTTCATCGCGAGTTACCTATGAACTGACCACGTCACCGCTCCTTCTGCCTTCTTCTCGTCGAAATTGCTGTGTCACAATTTGCCTCCTCATTGCAGGCGCCGACCCCAACAACAACTCTGCTCAAGGACGACCCGACGTGTACACAGAGGATCCGACTATTCTCGAGTTGCTAGTTGGGGCCCGTGCCAAGCTCGAGGCTCCAGCGCCAGCCCCCGCAGTTCCCACGGCTGTCTCCGCCAACTACGTGAGCTACGAGCAGGTTTCGTACGCGGCGTATCCCCAGGCCTACTATTCTGAAGGGCTGGTTCCCCCCCCCTACCCTGCCTACCCGTACATGTACAGGCCGGACATGATCCCCGCTGGCATGGTCATCTCTTCTGCTGCCCCACCACCTGCTCCTGCAGTTTCTGAGCAGACAGCGCCGGCCCCGTCGCTGCCTCAGCAGGCCTCCCAATCTCCCGTTCAAAGGAGTGAGAACAGCAGTGCTGGGTTGCCTCCCCCTGAGATTGCGAAGACCATTCCCTGCAGGTGCGTAGAATCGCCGTCGGAGTTTATTGTTGATACTGATTTGGTTTATAAGATTCTACCCTGCATGTCGGTACGGTGCCCAGTGCATTTTTGCACATCCCGACCCAGCGCCTGCGTCCACAGCTGTTGTCCAGCCTGCCCCTACCCCGGTCTCTGCCCCTACCTATGCCTACCCTATGGCTCCTCTTGCGTATTCTTATGGTTCTCCTCCTTACGATCCCTCGACTATGACCTATGGACCCTACTATGCTATGACCGCGCCGGCCATGCCGGCCTACGCTCCCATGGCAGCCATGACTTCCCCGCCATTCTCTGCCGCGCCTGGGGTTCCCCACCAGCGCTCTAGCTCAGATGTGCATACCCCAATATCGGCAACCTTCTCCCCCGTTACCAACCCCGTTTTGGCCGGCATGTGGCCAGTCGGGGTCATTCCACCTATTTCCCCTTATGTCCAGCCGGCCATGGGGCAGGCGCCTCCGATGTCACCGGTCGAGGCTACTCATGGTGTCAACGGTGCTTCTCCGCACCCCATGGCACCTCCCTCGCCTACGACCTTCTACAACCCGGCTGCCGATGTCTCTATCCCTACCGCTCCCGCCGCACATCGGCGTTCCTTCTCCACTCCCCGAGCCTTAGATGGATTCGGGCAACTGCAGATGCCTGACGGCATTCCACAGCCCGAGACACAAAATATTACGACTATGTACTTCCGCGGATCAAGCCGTGGCCGGGGAGGAAAGCGATCCTCCTATCTGCCCGGCCAGAGGCAGCCCGCCTCCAACGTAGTCTGCTTATTCTTCCCCACCGGAAAGTGTAAGAATGGGTGAGCATCTTCCATGCTTCAGATCTGAATAGCGAATCTGATGAAAAAATTGCAGCCCGGATTGTCGCTTCGCGCATGTTATGCCAGGACCCGATGATCCGCCACCGGTGCATCCGCGGACTGCGCGCGCTCGCGCGGCGGCCCTTGAGCTCGATAGGCAAGCCTCATTCCCGACAATCAATGAGCCTGTAAATGTGCCGAATGGGCATGGGTATCCTCGGAATGGCTCGGGCAACGGATCATCTCCCTCTAGCCAAAATGGAGCGTTTGATAAGCTTCGTGCTATGCCCAACGGCAAGCACGGAGCGGCCACCGCCGGTAGCTCCCGTTCCAGTTCAGCAGCGCCAGTCAACCGCCAGCGCATTCCAAATGCGGATGATTTCCCCGCTTTAGGTGGCCCAGGTGCGGGGCCTAACGGGGTGAAGCCAATTGCGGGTCCTGCGGGACCCACCGCTGCACAGGTGCTACAAGCACCTGCTCCCGCTCCCCGGAGCACGAGCAAACCCAGAACTCAGTCTGAAACGAGTTCGGAGAAGGTAAGATATTTCGACATTACTTTTGTGAAGTAGCTAAATGGTTTTCATATAGGCTACAAAGATCGCCGACGATATTGCAGACGTGACCAGCAAACTAGAGGCAGTCAAGATCGAGAGCGTGACCGCGAGTCTTCCCAGGCCGCCGACCCCGGCCCGCGAATCCGATGCCGTCTTCGCGTAGAATTTGACGCCTTCTTATTTCAGGGTCACACATCTTTGGCCCGACCACCGACATCGCGTCTGACTAATGACGCCCAAATATTCTTCTCCATTCCGTCAGACCTCCGTTCCGTCTACCTGTTTGGATCTGTACTTGTGTCGAAATCACCTTACCCTAGCCATTCGTTAACGTCACTCGTTCGTTGTCCACTATACCTGGCTCGACAGCGACTTCGGTTGGCCGACTGCCTGATTCTTTCTCTTCATCTTTCTGTGGGCCCCCACACGTGTTCACTGGTTGTGTCGCGTTTATTTCTTCGCATCATTTGGTTATCATCACGCGTTATAAAAGTGTCTGCCGACCTACATCATTTGTCCTTACTTACAGCTTGCTTTTTCTCGTCTGCTTCTCCCCTCTCGTGCTGTGTTTGTCTCCTTTCGCACCCATATTATTTAGCATCGCCAGCCCGTAGGTCAGTTGGTTCCATTTGTTGTTGGTCTCTACATCCTTTCAGTTATCCGTCTGCACGTGCATCTGTTCTGATCCTCTACAGGATTGAGCAATCCATTCCTGTTGTCAACGTAGATGGTGCCATGTGTGGGCCTGATGAGAATGAGATAGTCCTACGTGTACGTACCTCAGCACAGCCTTGCACGAGGAAGGGTGAGGTGCACAATGTTGTCAGAGTCCTTATCCAGCTTCCTACCTGCCTGTAACGCCATGCTACACTGCAAGAGACCAACTGTCAAGCGCCTAAGAACCAGGCCTGGTGGACAGAGCTCCGTTGTACGGCATCCGCTGCCGAGATGCCAGCAACCTCGCCGCAATCAATGTCGCTGCCTAACTGGGTTGACCTGACTCCACTTCCGCCATAAACCCTGCTCTTGCGTCTGGCATACTTTCGTCCTCCTACAAATCATCTGTCTCCAGCGGGTCAAAACTGTATTGATAGTATGGATCCTGTTGACAATGGTATCTGGATGGAAGGGTTTGCTTTGCCACCCCTTTCTCTCGGAGACGATATAAACGTCGAAACAAACGAACCGTACGTACGTGCGGCTACCCTTCACCGGCTCAACTTATTCTGTGCTTTTAGTCCAACCATGCCGGTCATCATAAAAAATGCTCGCGTATTTGGTTATTCCACCTTGGTGAAACTCACTTGCGATCCGCTCAGTGGGCATATATTTTCGGTCACACCAGAAACGTCTGCCGACTCTATGACTCTACTGTCAACCTCGATTACCTCTTCGGACCACCCGGTCTTTAGCTCCCGTGTTCTTCTAGACGCACCTGAACCATCTCCGAACGCTAATACTGTTATCGATGCGAAAGGCTCGCTTGTTTTACCGGGTTTGGTCCACAGTCACATCCATCTGGATAAAGCGTATCTATTGGATCGCTGCTCTATCCAGGACGGGTTGGTTTTCAGCCGAACTAAAGTTTGCGTCCTGATTCTCTTCATCTGAGCAGGATGTTCCACGAGGCAGTTTATAAGACCCAGGAAGCGTCAGTTGTCCTGTGACGGCAAGAGTGCGTCTAAAGAAGCTTACTTTTTCTCAGAAAAAAGGCCTTTGACGAAGACGATCTTCTCGAGAGGGGCCGTCAGCTTATTCGTGCTTCAATCTCCCATGGCGTTACAACTATGAGGGCACATGTCGAGGTGGATCCGGTGGTCAAGTTCAAATGCTTGAACGTTGGCATACGGCTGAAGGCTGAATTTTCCGACACTTGCGACATACGTCTGGTGGTCTTCGCACAAGACCCGATTTTCTCAAAACCCTTGGGTCACATGGACCAGAAATGGACGGAGCACATGATGACATTGCTGGAGGAGGCGATTGATCGAGGCGACGGCGCTGTTGCAGCCATTGGCTCAGCGCCTTATGTCGAGATGGGGGGTAAATCCCACGAACTAGCAAACGCGACCTATATTCTGGATCTCGCTGTCAAACATGGACTCGACGCCGACTTCCACCTTGACTTTGATCTTTCGAGAGAATCACGGTTCATGAACCTCCTCGATGAAGTCCGTAAACGACCCCAATTTCATTGCCGAGATCCACCAGCCCTCAGACGGAACTTCGTTTCTCCGTTACGAGTCACCCTCGGGCACTGTCGTACGCTGTCGCGCATAGATCCCATTCGGATCGGGAGCAGTATCTCCGTGGCTGCGGAAGGCCTGGAAGTCTATATTGTTGGCTTGCCGAATTCCGACATGTACATGAAACATGACAGAGAGCCTTCGGTCTATCGTGAGTCATACAGGACTGTACTGAATCCCTTAAACTTGGAGGCTCAGTCATCCTTTCTCCGAGGGCGGATCTCCCTCTCCGTCAAGTAAGTCCGGATCTTTAGCGGTGGAAAACCAGTTGACTCGTCCTTATTGAAGCAATGTCGGTAACCTTTTTACTCCTCAGGGGGATGGAGACCCTTTGGCACTTCTCCCGATGTGTGTCGGCGTATTCCAGAATGCAAAGGAAAACTCCCTTGCTTCTCTCATAAGAATGGTTACTGTATTCGCAGCGAGCGCCGCCGGACTCCGGCCCCGCGAGCATGCCGCCGATCTGATGCTTCAGCCCGGCGAACCGGCAGATCTAGTCATATTGGACGGCTGCACAGATTGGAGAATGGCCGCATTGTCCCCTCCTTTCGCAAGAGTCACTCTGAAGGGCGGGAGGGTGGTTGGGAAAAGGAAAGTAGAGACGTGGGTTGAGGGCCAGTCCGGATAAAGTTGGGTTGGTAAGTTGTCCGAACACCACGCAATGTGGAACTTTCTTTTTTAGGATGTGTTCCGAGTGGATAAGCTGTAATTGTCGTGATACATCATGCGAAATCGATGGGTGCGCTAGCTCGTCATGGGTCGCCTTGAGGATATCATGAGGTGGAAATGGCAGTGCCTGTCGGCAAAAACATGTAAATGGAAGTTTCGCGATGAAAGCCGGAAGATTAATATTACCTCAGTCCCTATGCCATGGCGGCGACGAACGCTGATCGTTTGAATATCACCATCCCCAATGTTGCCCCAAATGGAGCGGCAACACGCCTTTATCATGAGTTGGCCTGAACACGTTGGACCATGCTTCGCACTGCCGGCGACTCTCGGGCCTGGGTTGTTGTGCATTAGGTCCTCACTCTCTATGCCAGCTCAGAGCTGCTTGCATCTGGAAGGATGCACTCAACCAACAACAGGATGTCCAGTGGATGAGGATGTCTTCCACTCGGTGTGTGACTGTTCTGTATCGGCGAGAGGGGCCTGAGCGCTCTTGATTTGGATATTCGAACAAGCTCCATGATGCGATAGCCCGTGATGGATCGGTCTTCGCACGGCAGGGAGCCGGAACTTAGACCATAAGGTCCCGCCCCCCTCCGACATCTGCTGGAAACCCTGTCTCTTCAAGTCGACCATGTCGCTCATTATCTGCAACGCCCGCGTCGTCGGCTACCACACCTTGGTCAAGGTGACATGCGACGCGGAAACGTGCTGCATTACATCGATAGAGCCGCAAGGCAAGAAGCTTGTTGTCTCTTCGATGTGGTTGCGCCGAAACGCCTTTCGAAATCTCGCTTCGGTTGTACGCCTTGGTCGGGCCAGCAATAAGGTCGCCGTTATCGACGCTGGAGGTAGCTTAGTGCTCCCTGGACTGGTCCAGGCGCACATGCATCTCAGTCACACCTATTTGGACAGCGGCCAGGTGAAAAGCCCTGACGGCACCGAACTTTTCTCGAATGCGACATTGGCATTCGTCGGTACTCTCGGCGACACGAGGTCCTTCCGCGACGTGGACACTCTCAAGAACGTTCCATACAGGCTCTCGAAGGTGGATGCCTCTCTTGCGAGAATCAAGGCGCTGGTGGAGAGGGGCCGACTCATCATTGAAACGGCCCTATCTCGTGGCGTCACTAGCATGCGAACCCAGGTAGAAGTTGACACTAACGTCGGCCACCTGCCGTTTCATGCTGGGTGTGTACTTCAGAGAGAATTCGAGGACCGCTGCGATATTCGCATTTCTCTCTTTGCTACACAAGCTATATACTGCCAGCCAAACCGATCTTTCGACCAATGGCATACGGACCGCATGAAATGGCTGCTCCAACGCGCAGCAGGAAAAGAGGGCGTCAGAGCCGTTGGCTCTGCCCCTTTCATGGAAGATAATATGGGCACCGCACTCCTTAATATTCAATATATATTGGACTTGGCAGAAACACATGGCGTGGACGCTGAGTTCCACCTTGATGTCGACATTTCGCAAGACATGCGAACCCTTTTTGAAGTCATCCAACAAATACAACAACGCCCTGTGTTTAATTCTGACTTCTACTCTCCTGAACCATCGCATGTCAGGTTCCCCCTACGCGTTACGCTCGGGCATCGTGGACGGCTGTCTAGTATGTCCAGCCTGGACAAGAGCAATTTGGCGGAGCTCGTGGCGGGCTGGGAGATCTACTTCGTAGGTGTGTCTTACGAGGCAGAGGGACTCTTCCGCAGGTCCAGCACCTCGGCGCATGCTGGGTTCAAGCGCGAAGATGGTTGGTTCAATTCAGTTAGCCTCAGCAGGAGCCAGAGTGGATCTCTGGTAAAAGATCTCGACGCCCATACTTCATTGGCCATTGAGTAAGTGCATCTCGGATTGATTAAACACAGCCTGACATGGATCCGTAGAAACACTGGTACTTTCACTTCGCCGTGGGATGCTGATCCTCTTACCCTCCTCGCTATGGACGGTGCAAATCCAGGCGACGTTTCTGAGACGCAGGCGCAAAGCCTGCTTCGCATGGTCACCCTCAACGCCGCGGCAGCGGCAGGCATGGGAAGGCGTGCTCATCCACAATCTTTGCACATTCGAACCGGCGACGTTGCGAACCTAGTCATTCTTGACGGTTGTTATGACTGCAGAACCGCAGTGTTTAACCCACCACTCAACAGGATTACAATCAAGAGGGGACAGATGGTGTCGGGTGCGCAGGTCAAAGGCTGGAAGCTCAACTAAAACGGGTACTCCCAACCTCTTGTGCAGTTTCGGTCTTACTTCGTGTGTAGCTTTCCCCCCACTTTATGCCGTCCGGCACGGCTTGTTGTACAACACACGAACCTTTTACGTGCTTCATGAAATTACGTTCGAATTTCAATATTGTTTAATTCAATACCATACAAGTACATACCCCAAGACTACTATGCGTTCCATGCCTCGAGGTGCTCCAGTACCACACCCGGTATGTCGGTGACCCTCCCAATTCTAAACACCTTCTTCTCTCCTGTTTTCTGGATGCACTCTATCACCTCACTTACTTGGGCCGCGTCAACCACCAGCACCATACCAATTCCATTATTGAATGTTCTTGCCATCTCCTGGCTGCTGAGACCGCCTAGCTGACTGAGCCAAGCAAACACGTGCGGTCGGCTCCAAGTAGAGAGGTCGAGCGTGCACCCCAACCCGGCTGGGAGGACGCGAGGAATGTTCTCTGTAAAACCGCCACCAGTGATGTGTGACATTCCCTTGATTAAGCCCCGCTTGACCGCAGGCAGCAACTGGCGAATGTAAATCCGCGTGGGCTTGAGCAGTTCTTCTCCAAGTGTGAGTGAGCTGTCCCATGGGGTGACATCGGAGTAGGAGAGCCCGGATAGGGAAACGATCTTCCGCACTAGGGAGAAGCCATTGGAATGCACGCCCGAGGAGGCGAGGCCAAGAAGGATGTCTCCGGGTTTGATATTAGCCCGCGGGAGGAGGAGGGAGCGCTCAACAGCCCCGACAGCGAAGCCAGCTAGATCGTAATCATCTGTCAAAATGGTGCAGGGTCAGCAACAATCTAATGCTGAAATTGAAGGGAAAATGCGTACCACCTGCATACATGCTCGGCATCTCCGCCGTCTCCCCTCCGACCAACGCGCATCCCGCATCCTTGCATCCTTCCACAATTCCCTTGACAACACTTGCGCATACCTGCGGGTCCAGCTTGCCACAACCATAATAATCCAGGAAAAGCAGAGGCTCTGCCCCCTGCACTATCAGGTCGTTCACGCTCATCGCTACGAGGTCGATGCCGACCGTGTCGTGTTTCCCCACGTCCATCGCTACACGTAACTTGGTCCCCACTCCGTCCGTGCCAGCGACGAGTAGTGGGTCCCGATACCCGGTGGCGGCGAGATCAAACACACCTCCGAATCCACCGATGGACGCATCCGCCCCTGGGCGGCGTGTGGATTTGACTAGCGGCTTGATGATTTCTACGAGGGTGTTGCCGGCGTCGATTGAGACACCTGCTTCGGCGTACGTGAGTCCCTTGGACTGCGGTTCTGAGGCGGAGAGTGCGCTGTATGCGAGTAAGTTTTGTGAATCCTTGGATATTTTGAAATGAAATAGGGGAGTGAACGCACCGATGTCCAATATCCGTCCTGAATTGCTTCCCTTGGAATCGCACCTTGTCCACTCCGTCATACGCCAACTTTAAAGCACCCTCAATGCTGTCGCCGTACGCAGCCACCGCGAATACTCTCCCACCTGCAGTGACTACCTTCCCCTCCTTCATTGATGTTCCCGCATGGAACACTTGAGCGCCCTCTGGCAGTCCCTCAAAGGTAATCAGGTCGCCCTTCGAATAACTGCCCGGATAACCCTGCGCAGCGAGCACCACACTAACCGCGAATCCAGGTCTGACATTTAAAGTGATAGAGTCGAGTCGCCGCTCGACACAGGCGAGGAGAATCTCCGCCAGATCGCTCTCGAGAAGGAGGAGGAGAGCTTGTGTCTCCGGGTCGCCGAAACGCACGTTGTACTCCAGCACCTTCGGGCCTTGCTCGGTCAGGATAAATCCCGTGAACAGCATACCCACGAAGGGATATCCATCCTTCCTCATCCCCCTGATCGTAGGCTCGAGCGATTCCTTCATGATTCGCTGCATGACTTGTGGTGTAGCGACTGGAGCGGGGGCGTATGCGCCCATCCCCCCTGTATTCGGCCCGCGATCGGAAGTGAGCAGTCGTTTGTGGTCTTGTGCAGCGGGGAGGGGAAGAATACTGTACCCGTCTGAGAAAGCGAGTACGCTCAGCTCCGGACCCTCGAGGAACTCTTCTATGACGACTTCGTCCCCTGCTGAACCGAAGACCTTCGATACCATAATCTCCTCCAAACCACGGAGAGCCTCCTCTACAGTTTCAGGAATAAGCACGCCCTTGCCCGCTGCGAGTCCTGAGGCTTTGAGGACGACCCTATGCCCGCACTCATTTACATACTTGCACGCAGTCTCGTATTCCTCCGCACGGAACGATCGGAATGCCGCTGTGGGAATGGAATGCCGGGCCATGAACTCTTTGGAAAACGACTTGGATCCTTCCATACGCGCTGCAAGTGGAGTAGGCCCAAATACAGGGATGCCGATACGTTGAAACACGGGTTCTATGCCGTCGACCAGAGGTTGTTCGGGGCCTGGTACGACCAGGTTGACCTGCGAAGCCACCTCAGAAAAGCAGTTGTGAGAATAGCGAAAGAAACGTACATCATTTGTCACGGCAAAGTCCCGCAGCTTCTCAAAGTTGGTCGTGGGAATGTCAACATTTGTCACCTTGCCAGCCATCTGAGCTGTACCGCCGTTTCCTGGGGCGACATAGACGTGCTCAACGAGGGGAGACCGGGCGAGAGACCAGGCGAGAGCGTGCTCCCGCCCGCCGCTGCCAATGAGAAGGATATTCAAGGATGTCGACATCACTCCCTAGTCTGCGGCTGCTACAAAATGAGGTGGTCGTCGTCAACAAGTCTCCTCAGAGTCCATCGCATCCACGGAAATTTTGGTTGACGCCGTCCGACGTCCCTGAACTTTCACGTGCACATCCGCTTAGTGGCTGTGTAATATATTCTGGTTGCTTTTTTTTCTGTCATACTTGTGGTAGGGTCTCGACAGACATACCAGCCAAAATACTACGGACTATACCGAACCACCACTAAGGATGCCTCCCAAACGAGCGCTCGCGGACGACGTCCAACCTAATTCTCACCCATCCCCTAGCTCCTCCAAGGCTCCTGCTTTTGCCAATGCTTCAGGCGCTCCGGAACGGAGACCCATGGAACACGACGGGGAGGAGGGAGACGAAGAGGGAATGGGCGAGTTTGAAGATGCGTGGGAGGATGAAGAGGACGATGAGGACGGAGAGGTTGTAGATGCTGCTGAGGGTGAGGACGACGAGGACGCAGAAGATGAAGATGGTCAGTGATATTGAATGGATGGGGTAACACTGAGCTGACCAAATATCACTAGCGATGGAGGTGGACGGCCCCCCTGAGGATGAGGATGAACCCCCTGGAGACCTTGACACTTATCTTCCCACTCGAGCGCTTGAGAAGGACGAGATACTCGAACCCGACCAGTCCGTGTACGAGATGCTGCATCGGATGAACGTAACCTGGCCGTGTCTGTCATTCGACGTGCTGAACGACGGACTCGGGAATGAGCGGGCGAGTTATCCCCAGACGGTATACTTGGTGGCAGGGACACAAGCGGACACAGCGAGGAATAATGAACTTATGGTCATGCGTATGAGCAGCTTACATAGAACCCAAAGAGACCAAGGTGCATCTTCTCCTCCCACTCTGCGACTTTGAGGGCTGACGCACTCTTGCGCAGACGATTCCGACGAAGAGGATGACAATGACGACGTCGATGAAGACGCTGTGCTAGAATATCGTTCCATTCCTCATATGGGTGGTGTGAACCGTGTTCGTGCCCAGCCCCTGCCGCACGACTCCGCACTTCCACCTGTAGGCACGCCCTATTTTGTTTCCACTTGGTCCGAAACGGGAAAAGTGCACATATTCGACGTCCGCCCCTATATCCACGCTTTGGACGAGCCGGGATATGTCCCCGACAAGAGTGTCGCCAGCAAGCCCGTGTACACCAATGGGGTGCACAAGATCGAGGGCTTTGCTATGGACTGGTCGCCTCTACCCGAACAGGGTCCACCGCGGTTGTTGACAGGAGACATGCATAGCAAGATATTCCTCACCACAACCACTCCATCCGGATTTGCGACTGGGGCGAACGCGTTCACAAGTCACACGAGCAGCGTCGAAGACCTACAGTGGAGTCCTGGTGAAACGACGGTGTTCGCGAGCTGCTCCGCGGACAGGACAGTCCGCTTATGGGATGTGCGGGTGAAGAACCGCCAGAGTGTGCTCTGTGTTGACAATGCGCATGAGGGGGACGTGAATGTCATTAGCTGGAACAGGGGTTCGCAGTATCTGCTTGCAAGTGGAGGAGATGAGGGAGGAATCAAAGTGTGGGATCTGAGGAATATGAAGAGGTGTGTTTTACATTCCACCCTTGCCCCTTCTTTTCTTTCTCCGAAATGGGCAGCAGCAGTGCTGACTTCGACGCGAACAGCAAAACTTCCATCCCTTCCCCGGTGGCCTCCTACACTTGGCACACTGCGCCTATCACCTCCCTCGAATGGCACCCTACCGAGGATAGTATCTTCGCCGCCTCAGGAGCGGACGATCAAGTCACGCTCTGGGATCTCTCAGTCGAGCAGGATGATGATGAGGCTGCTGGCGTTGCCGGAGAAGGGCTGAAAGACGTGCCCCCGCAGTTGCTTTTCGTTCACCAGGGTCAGAGGGACATAAAAGAAGTCCATTGGTGTCGCCAGGTACCTGGGGCGGTGGTCAGCACCGCAAGTGATGGGTTCAACGTGTTCAAGACGATCTCGGTTTAGGCTGGTAGACGTAGTTCCTTTTGGCGCCCAGCCGATGTGGACCGGCGGAGGGGCGGGTGAGCGGCTGCCGGTAGCCGTCGTGCAGGGGCTCAGGGAGGGTGGAGGACGCTTACGCAGAACTCCACATCAACCGTAACTTGATTGGTGGAGCTTAGCAGGGACCAAGACTTAACATTAACATTCACACCGCTTGACTAGTGGGGCAAAGGCATGTGCATCTTTCTCCATTCCATACATTTTCGTTCTTGCGCATCTCTGGACCTAATTGACACATATCTCTATCCGATTGCGTGGTCTACGATTATAACCCTGGACAGCGAGCTTGCCCGCATTACAGAGATTTAAGCGAAGATGGAGAGGCGGACGTCAATGTCAGCAGGGTCGTTGAAGCGCAAGTTGTGGTTGAGGGAGGAGATCTCCTTGATCTGCTCCGGCGAAAGGTTGAAGTCAATGCAGTGCAGGTTCTGCTCCAGACGCTTCTGGTTGTTCGACTTCGGGATGACCGCAATGCCGCGCTGCGTTGCCCAGCGGAGGAGCACCTGTGCGGGAGTCTTATCGTGCTCGGCAGCGATCGAGGTAACTGTGTCGTGCTCGAGCAGGAGCTTCGCGTCACGGTCCATGTTAAGCTCGACGAAGGACTGAGGACCAAAGGAGGAGTATGCGGTGATGGCAATGCCGAACTCCTGGGCAAGCCTTACAAGGTGCTCCTGGGTAAGGTCTACAGTTTCTGATGAGTCACGTGCTTTCCCGTGTGCCTGCGTCGGTTACTTACAAGGGTGGTGCTCGATCTGAAGGACTGCAGGGGGAACACGGGCATATCTCATCAAGTCAATGATGAGGCCGCCAGCAAAGTTGGAAATGCCGATGTTCTTGGCAAGGCCAGCAGAGTGGAGCTCCTCCATCGCCTCCCACGTCTCCTGTATGGGGGTGTTCTGGGTGTACACCTTGCCATCATCGCCGAACCACTCAGGGGGGTAGCGGTGTCCGGGATCGACGTACTTCAGAGAAACAGGGAAGTGCTAGGAAAACACGTATGATGTCAGTCCTCCACCGCTCGCTGCAGTGCTGGACCGAGCACTCACAATCAGGAAAAGATCGAAATATTCAATGCCCCACAGCTTGAGCTGGTAGTCGGCCATTTGGCGGACATGCTCACGGGCATGGAAGGTGTTCCACAGCTTTGAGGTGATAACTGCAATGTTTCATCAGCGAGCTGACGCATGATAGCACAATGTATGCTGCATACAGAGCTCCTCCCGCTTTACAAGGCCGTCCTTAATGGCACGAGCAACACCCTCACCGGCCTCCTTCTCGTTACCGTAATCACCGGCACCATCTAGGAGCCTGTAGCCGTGTTTGATGGCGTTGTACACGGTCTATATGCACAGCGCTTCGGTCTATCATCGGATAAATTCGGGGATAAATGGAACATACGTCGGCGCAAGAGGACTTGGTGACCTGTGGGAGGCTTGTCAGCGCGTGTATTAGGCTCCCAGTAGCTGGAGGCGTACCTTCCAGAGACCAAAGCTAGAGGTCGACGACAATCCGTCAGCACTTCTCTCACTCCTCTGCGTGGAGTTGCGCTTACCCAACGATCGGCATCTGAAAACAGGGTCTTAATTAAGACTTATACCCCGCATTTGTGGGGAAGTGCGCACCTTTTGGCCGGAGCCCTTGAGTATGATGCTAGCCATGGTTGAAGAAGATGGTTGGGCAGAGGAGAGCTACGAAGGGGAGGGGTCGGCAGGCAAACGGGCAGATAGAGGGGGAGGACCTCCGGACGTTGGAGTGGTTCGCTGCAACTTATGACCGCTGGCAGAAATACATCCGGATGGAGTTGGTGACACGCGACGAGACCACTTCCTCCATTTGGGCAACACCCTCTCCTCCTTCTTCCCTCCAAATAAACTGAAAAACTTGGTCCGAGAATCTCAAGACCCGGTTGGAAACTTGTCCAGCGTGCCCCAAGCGCATCTCCGCACATGCATTCGGCGGTCATATCTGTTCTTGGTCCACATGATTATCATGCTGGCAGTCGGCTTGGATAGCCCGATGTGGAAAGAGAAGCAACGCCGAGATATTCCATGGTGACAGGCTGATAACCGGATCGGTTTTAGCCACGGTCGGGTTGACAGCCCCTTCTGGTCAAAACGGTAATATGTCAATTTGGGTCTAATAAGCTTGGTCCCGGCGATATTGCTCGGAGTTATGACAATCACAACGGTGGAACTCTATTGTGCCGAAGAAGCACCGCCGAATGCGCGAACTCCTCTGCTCCTCGCTTTTCTGTAAGTACTTTCCTTCTTGCAATCTCTGCTTGTTCATCTCCCTCAATAGATATCAACCTGGTCTCCGGTACAGAAGTACTACTGCCGCCATCGGACCAATCAGTATTCAGTACCGGCAAACCGGACCGGGATGGAGGCTCTTCGGCAGACCGCCGAATTGGGAGTACTCGTTGCTAGTCATGCTCTGTAATTGTAACCATCGACTTAGCCTATTGGTGCTCGTCAGACCATTGCGATCTGTCACGCAGACTTACACATCCATCATTTGTACATGCACGAATGCCCTGAAATGAACGGTGGAATGTGTGCCACACTCAACATCGCTCGCAAAATAGCTCCAGACAAGGAACGTTGACCTAATGAACTTGCCTGACCTCGAGAGTTCTAGATTTGTGATGAATTCAATATGCAAAAGTGATTTACTTAAGAAGAACACACTCTCTCTAAATGCAGGTGATCACAATCATGCATATACCCAAGGGTCCTGATAACCGTGTCGATCCCTGAATACGCGTCAGCACTTTCGAGCGCCCGTCAATGTCCAGATAACTGCCATCGTCAATTGCACCAAAAAATACTCTTATTTTCTGACCTTCAAACATTCGAGAAAACCCCAGGACGACTTGAAGCTGGATCGTGGGCCCGTGCCTCCGAACCATGCTAGAAATATCACGGGTGTTCCCAGGTGCACCAAACGCGGAGGCAGAACTATGTTTCCTCCTGCACCGAGGGCAGCTCCTAGTGGCATGTCAAGCCCTCTCCAGTCACAAGTACAGTGGCTGAATTAGACCAGGTGTATTCATCTCAAGGCAATATCGTGCTTCTCAAAGCGCCAACGCTCGCCGTACACCGGGTGATCGCCTTTTTCGAAGCATATCCGGGGTTCACAGAGCTCGAGGCCCGCATCGGTGCTCTGGTGACTGACTCAGATGTTGGCTTGGTACGTTCCAACACATTATCATATACATCGACTTGTATCTCACGACTATATAGATTGTGGCAGCAGTTGGAACACAAATTGCATTCTGGGTCCCCGGCGTTGGAGACAAATGGAAGGTACATTCAACATTAAGTGTACCCCTCCCGGTCCGGTCGCTGGATCATCAAGCTGGTCGATTGCTCGTTGCGACCGATGAAAAGTTGTCAATATGGGAGCAGAGGGAAGACAGCGGAATTATTGTGTGGAATAATGTGTGGGAAACTGGGTGCGTCACCTCCCCTAGCTCCGAGTCCAGCCTCTCGTCTAAGCGGGCCTCTCCTTCAGCATTGAGTCCGCTCCTGTCATTGTCCGTCTATCAGAAACGGGGGCAGCGATTGCTTATGCGTACAAGGTATATATTAGATCAATTGTTTATATGGATGCTCAAGTGTTGTAGGATGCCAGAGCCGTACACCTGATCGACACCCGAAGAGCCACCCTGCAGACCCTGCGACATCCTCGTTCAATAACCAGCCTCACATGGCGCCGTCCAACTGCTGGAAATCGATCCTCCCTGACCCTGTTTACCGTAACGTCCGACAGCACAGTTCGAATATGGCAGCCAGTATTGGACGCACCCCATGACCTTCGACTTTGGGGAACGATCGATGCGGACTCATTCTTCGAGGACGAGCGTGCAGTCCAAGTGCGCTGGCTGGAGCGTTCCGTCCGCCCAGAGGAAGGTGGAGCATTGTACGAAGACATTTTCTTTGCTGTGGACGGCAGGGGGCGAATAAGCTTGACAACTGTCCAAGTATGGCTCTATTCATGATCCCATTGGCACATGCAACTCACAAAACTCATTCCAGAATATCGAACAAAGACCGCCCACTCTACTCTCTGTTAATCAATCACAACCATTACCTGATGTTCACACAATTACTCCTGATAACACCACTGCCGTTATACCAATACCATCACCATCCGATACCCTGGTCATGTTTCTCTCCCAACAATCTCTGGAATCCCTCACGGTTACACTGTCTTCCTACCTAGACGACATCAAGGACGCTTCGGACCCACTGCCACCTTCAATCACGGAACCTTTTGGTTTCCAGCATTCAGAAACTATCCGTGGTCTGCATCTGCGTTCGGATGGAAGGGCTTTCCTGACGCAAGCCGATTCGGAGATCATCCTATGGGAGGCGACCACCGGTACTCCTCGAAATGTCTCGAAATGGAAGATCAGTTGTGAACTTGCCGCAATCGTCGAGGATGACGTACTCGTATATACCGGAAAGACACTAGCCCTGCTCACCAAGGACGGGTCTCAGCGCAGCGTCCAGGCTCTCAAAACGCCCATCTTGCGATTCATGAACTCCACCATGTACCTTCTGGCGCTCACAGATACTCATTGCTTAGAGCTGGATCGACATTCTCTCGAGATCCTGGCAGAAGTACCCTTACCCGCAGGGCCAGTCAGTATTCGCGTTCCCATTTTCGGGCACAATCGCGAGATATTGGATGTGACCGCAGAAGGTGACCTGTCTTTCTGGAGATACGCGGACAGTGAATGGAGACAAATCGGTGGCCTTGCGACTGGCATACAAGGTGTCAGCATGGCGGCTTGTAGTGTTGACAGACGATCAGCCCTTGGTAAGCCTCGGATACTGGGATTGTGCGATACTTATTGTTATTGCAGTAAAACGCGATGGTAAAGGATATCATTTGTCCATATGGAACTCCAGACTGTCACAGTTCTCGTCCGGATTGGAGTTTGAGTGCACGTTTAGGTGCGCATATATTCCAGTGTGATGCTGTAGATACCAACAATGGCATATCCAGCGAAGAGATCCTTTCACTACGGTGGACATTCGGCACTTCGGACGGTCTGGCTGTGTGTTTCAAAACTCATTCGGTTATCATGTGGCCAGAGCGTATGACGTACTTCGATGATGCGCCTTCTTGGGCGTCCTGGCTGCATATTTATGTGGACGAGTACGTCGATTTCTCAGACCTAGCTATACCATGTTCTCACCATATCCAAGGTTCAGTCCACTCGCCTTGACTGGAGCATCGTTCCTGGGAGATGGTTCTCTGGTTGTGACCGCCGGTAATCAGGTCATCTCATTTAACCCAAAGCTGAAAGATCCTCCACTCTCTGAATCATCGAATCTCTTGGAGTTGATCATCAATGGCATCGGCCCACTTCCGGACTGGCACCCACAGGTTGTTCTACAGTGTCTGCTTTGGAGTATGTTTCCTTCTCCTTATACACAGCACTATGATCTGACATGGATTTACTCAGATAAAGTCGATAGAGTCAAACAGGTGATCGAACGTTTGGCGAAGGTGATGCTAGAGGAAGGTGCAACCGACGCATCAGTGCACTCGGCATTGATGCACCTCAGCGATGAACCTTACGATGATGAATATCAGGAGAACCAGCAGGTCTGACACAATTTCTGCTCCCACTGGGGTCTTTCATGACATGTCCTATGTAGACATCCGCTATGCGTGAGCAACGCCATTCTACCCTGTTTGAAACCGAAACGGAGGGGATTGACGAGTGAGACCGACTCTGCTGGTCTGAAGCGGCTGCTGACCTGCCTTCAGCGATGATCCATGGAAATTCTCGCGCCCTCTCATCACGAAACTCCTGAAGATACTGGACATACGCCCTATCCCAATGCTCACGGTCAAAGAAGAGGAGCATCTTGAAGCTCTCATTGAGACGACGCTTGAGGTAACCTACAAATCCTCGAATCTCGAATGAGACAGTGACCATCTTCATTTCAGATTGATGAACAGAGGCGTGCTCTCGATGCAAATGGTATCCGCTATCTCATTTCCATTCGCTCCTTTTACATCCTCAATCGCAAATCGAAAGAATCTCCAAGCGCGATCCAAGACCTGCCTCCGGTGATTGAGGCAAGAAGTCGTATCCGATATCGTGATATGGTATGGGCATATCATAGCGAGACCCAAGGATTGCTTCTTCAAACGTGTACACAGGCCTGTAACGATAAGATGGCGTGGAGCGACGCACGCGCCTTGGGGGTATTCCTTTGGGTAACTTCCACCGACGTCTTGGTTAGTATCCTATTCCACCCTTTCATACATCCTCTGATGTCGCCTCAGAAGAATCAAATGGAAATTGTCGCTCGTAATGAGTACATGGCCGGCGGGGAGAGAGACCCGGAACGATGTTCTCTTTACTATTTTGCTCTAGGCAAGCGGCGACTTGTCCACGGTCTATGGATGCAAGCAGCGTGGCACCCTGAGCAAACGGTCATGTTGCAATTCTTGTCCAACGACTTCGACATTCCAAGGTGGAAAACGGCGGCACTGAAGAATGCATATGCCCTGTTGGGAAAGAAACGCTGGCGTGAGAGCTCACTTCCCTGCCATGATTCTCGTGATCTGATCCAGGCTATTTCAGAATACGCTGCCGCTTTCTTCTTGCTTGGTGGCGCTCTTCAGGATGCGGTGAATGTTTGCGTCAAGCAGCTAAACGACATCCAACTGGCCATTGCAATAGCTCGCATATACGAGCAAAGCGACAACGGGTCGGTTCTCCGGGACCTGCTCTTGAAGACCATAATACCGATTGCATTCGAACAGGATAATAGATGGCTTGGCAGTTGGGCCTTCTGGATGCTTCACAAGAGAGATATGGCGGTTCGAATCGTTATGGTAAGCGCAGACTCCCAAAATACATTTACCATATGGGTTTACATCAGTGACTGTAGACCCCTCTTTCCGACCTAGCCAAGACCCTTGATGTTCCTATAGAGATCTTCGGCCGGCCCAACTATGACGACCCCAGTCTGGCAATGCTATTTGCACAGCTCAAAGCGAAGACCCTCCAGGCCGCGAAAGGAACAAGTGAAATCGCCCCACAAACCGAATTCAATTTTGTCCTCCAGATTGCTCGCGTATTTTGCCGAATGGGTGCGTATACTGCAACCAGACCTTGTTCTGTGCTCACAGTACCTTTCTAGGCTGTCACATATTAGCATTGGATTTGGTCAGGTCGTGGTCCTTTGACAGACCAACGGCTGTCGTAACACAGTCAGCAGTCGACGATGGATTCGAGATGCGCCCAACAGCTGTTTCATCCGCCCGCCGCAGTAGCTTCTTCAATCTAGCGGGGCGCAGAAGGTCGTCAGTTCTTATCGATGTTGACGTCAAGTCTCTTCCTCAGACTCGGGCACCCTCGCCGAAGTTGCCCACCGTTGCTGAGAACTCCGCGATCGCCGTAGAAGCCATTCAGCCGCGGCACACTGGTATCGGTAGCTTGATGAAGTCAGCAAAGCAAGATATGAAGGTCCCCGAGTTTGATATGAATGCATTTTTCTAACCATTTTTCCCGGGCCTGTTTGTCATGCACAATGTATTGTTAGTATTGTTATTCAGTCATTTTTCCTGAGGACACACTTCCGTACTTAGGGGTCATGGAGCTCCCGCTGTTTATCGGTGGGAATCGAGGCGGTTATCTGATTGCCTGCATCCCCGTCGGCAGATCTTCACCGGAATCATGTGGACCCCATCAACCCCACGTTTTCGGAAGGTACCTGCAATTCACGTGCGGGACGAGGAAATTTCCGAGGTGCTCTTACAACCGCTGTCCTCTGAAGGTGATCCACCTTCTTACGAAGCACCTTCTTATGAAGCATTCCCTCATGGCAACTCAGGCACGCATTGGGCCGCCGGTTTTAGGTCTATTAACTGCGCAGTCAGGAGCTCTTCATGGTCATGGAGCTATTAAATTACACCCCTGTGCCGCCAAGTTGAATTTAAAAAGGCAAGCTGCCCTCCTACACGCTCCTTGATAGGCTTCCGCGTGCACCGGAATTGCGAAAGCGCGCACCGGAAATATTTAGGTGTAGCAACGCGCCCACCGTTCGGGAGGTAAGACACAGGGCCATAGATTGTGTTGCAGATAACCCTCCCACTCACGTTCGACCGAGCGATAGAGATCGATCTGAGCGCGGGCGTTCTCAAGCTAGAAGAGATCAGTCAGTCAGATTGGGAACTGAACTCCTAACTCTTACTGAGTCAATACGAGCTCTTTGTATATGCCTCCGCATAAAATGCCAAACCAATGACGCCAGTCTCACATGTTCACGAGTGCCGAGACGAAGACGAAAAGGCCAATACAATTCCACCTGGATAGACTCTCATGAGCATGTACGTGTTTCAGATTAGATAGACTTACATCGCGGGTCAAGGATGCGGGGTGAGAAAGTCCCAATATCTGAATTCAACAGATCAATTTCCCAAGGAAGGACATCGCGCGAGATAACTCACGGAAAGCGATTCCCACAGAGAGTGTCCGACAATCACTTTGTCCTCCAGGACTTCTCCCACAAGTGATTGAACTTCCTCAAAGCCTAGTGCTGGGAAACATGATACCAAGGATTGTGAGTACGACGACAATGAACTAGATCCTCTAGACACACCTTCAACCCCCTCAGGTGCCATAGTCTGGTTTCTTGGTGGCCCAGTGACAGGACTCTGTGGCCGGATCCAAAGGTCGAACATCTTGTTGTCAAGTTCAGGATTGACATGACGATCACGAACAAGGGAAGACATACGATTTGACCGCGATAGTCGACCAGAGTGACTCGGGAGAGCTGGGGAATCGTCCCACCATGGCCTATCAGAGCATTAGACCGGGTGTGTGAACAGACAGGAAAGGTACACACCTGCTCCTACTGCTTGAGTATCCAAGCTGACGATCTTCGTAGGATCCCAGTTCGGAAGAGAGACGGGAAGAAACCGACCAGGCGGCGGAGACGGCCAAGGCAGCTTATCACCATTGTCTTGCGGCGGCCAAGTATAGTCGTCAATAGTCATAGGAGCCATGCCAGATCAGTTCCTTTCTTTGTCGACGAAGAGCGGAATGCTGCGAACGATGCTGTCCTCTCGGGGAAAGTACCCCCGTATTTATAGACAACAGATTGTAAGAGATTTCTTGCCATAGTAGCATCGAGCATGTAAGGCAACGTCACATGAGGCACGACCTGAGCGCATAGCGTGGCATCACAGGGTGGACGGTCAGGACAATGTCTGTTTGTGGATTTCCCATAGCTGCGATATTAAGTTGCCCCATCACCGATGGAGATCACGGCGCCTTTAGATCCCATACGCCATGCCGAGCCATATTGGGTGGAAACTAGATCAATATTTGTCAAGAGGCTGCCACCGATCGAACGGTAAGGGCTTCGTATTCCAGCGGGCCGGAGATGGTCATCATTGATGAGGGAGCCCATTGTTGACACGGATCAGCTTCCAAAAGGCACCGTTGTCTGCTACTAAATTGGTGAGGATACTGCCGACCACGGGCCGATTGATGGCCTGTTGAGATCCACCGTGCGGAATGCATTCGGTCCTCAGCCTGAGAAAATTTGGCGCCGAAAGAAAAAGAGTAAAGACGCCGGATGGAGCGAAGATGAGGCTCACCTCTGCTAGTATATCTCCCAGTTTCGAGGGTGCAAATTACGCGAATTTTGCGTAGGGACTAGTACCAAAAGCAGCAGGACAAAAGATCAATGTATTCGAGATGGTGTGTTTTTTCCTTCTGGTTGCACATTGCGACACGGTCGTACGGGAAGACAATGACCCCGATTGGCCCGATATTGATGACGATGGAATCTTCCTCGTTCCCTCCTCCCCTCCTACCGAACAAGACCGAGACAAGTCAACAAAGTACCATTCAAGACCAACATCGGGATACTTGGGGTCATCACGCACCCTGTCCGTACGTAAGGGGCTTTGTGCCGGTCCAGTTGAAAGAGGCGATAAGAAGGTGTCTTCCCGTCGCCGCGGTTGTGTCCATTCTGCGCCATCTATCAGGTTGATACTCCGAAGAATGCCATACCGGTTGCCGGTCCGAACGACCACCGACTTAGCGCCAAGGCTTCTCCCCACAAGATGCCGAAAAATAACAAAAAGATTCTTGAAGCACTAATACAGAGTTCATTCTCGCCCTTTGCCGTTCCTGGACCGCTTCTCAAATGCATGACGGGCTTCGTCTTCGCATCGTGATCTCTTCCATTTGCCGGCGAACGCGGGGGGCAGCCGAACTCCCGCATGGAAGCATGACCCCTCGTTACCCCTTTCTGATGGAGAACCAGGGACAGTCTTTTGTTGTTAGCGGCGATGTCGAGAAGCTTCCCTGACGATCGCCTGTGCCATGAAAGCCACAGTCCTGAATGCTGTTGATAGTCTTCCTCATCGTGGTGCAAGGTTCCGAGAACATCACTTGTTTGGGCGGCTGTGTGCCTCATGAAGCAAGAATCTAGCGCCCGTTCCTCCATTACTTTCTGGAACCAACACTTGGAACGAACCATTGTTAGGGAACGATGTTGATCCGGTGATCTGAGTGCGGGTCTGACAGGTGTTTCCGCTTGAAGAAGGAACTTTAACAGTCGGCAAGAGCCGTTCACACCGTGAAGAAAATCAAGAGCACAAGCCACCTCGTCATTACATCTGCTCACTATCGCGGCGCGCTGATGTGGTGCCACATCTGCCTTATTCCGAAGCATGCCCTGGGCTCGCAACTACGGCATGCATTGGAGCATTTGCTATCTACCAAATTGAAACAGGTCTGGGATTGTGAACGTGGCGCTCATTTCCTAGTGGGATTGGCTGTCGCGGGCGTGTTGCCGAACGAGTTGGCCTGGTTCGTGTACGCGTACGACATGTTGGCGAGGGTGTTCTCCATCTTCCGGATCGCCTTGTGGTCCTGCTCTTCCTGGAGCTGCTTGACGTAACGGCTGACAATGATGCAGCCATCTGAAAATGATATATCAGTAAGTGTTTGACCACGCTAACTGGGCACGCACAGAGGGAGATCAATTGGAAGACGACGAAGACCGCGATGTAGATACCCCGGCCAATCTGGAGACTTTTCTCGCAAACAGCGGCAGTGTTGTGTTTAGGGTCCTCCGCCTCACACTGCGCAAGGTACTTCGTGTGGAAGCTCTTGCGGGAGAGGTTCCAGATAAGGATGGAACCTAAGCGGGCGTTAGATGATTACCATCGATCCCCAGCATTGCCACTCACCGACAAACGTGGACACGAACCAGTGAATCCACAGCATGCGCGAGTACACCAGAACAAAAGTACGACGAGCAGACAATGTGCCGATGAACCTGGGCACGCGTGGACGTCAGCGATGGAGGCACATGGAAAGGGTGATGATGCTCACCCGAATACCGAGAACAAGAAGAGCAGAAGCCACAGGATCCCGGCAATGATAAGAACGGCCTTTTCAGCAGCGGGGATCCCAGGTCCTTGCTCTGTTTAATGATGTCAGTGAATTGATGGTTGGAAAATAATGCCTGGTAGACATACTCTTGAAGGCAATGAACATCCCAATTGAGATCATTATCGATGCGACGGCGGTCACAGCCGACAGAGCGAAGGCACCAAAGCGAACCGGAAGACAGCAGCAGAATGTGTACATGATGTTCGTAAGAAGCGATTAAGAGTTGTGCGGCACCAGGCCTAGGAAGGTGGTATGGGTACGTTAGGTGGGCAGAAGAGACCAGCTCTGAGTGTGGAGAAGGGACGAGAACGCGGTCTGCAGGAGTGAGCTTGCAGCATTTGTAGCTCTCCCGGTTGAACGGAGCCATCATGTTACAGGAGGCCGATATGACGCAAACAAGCGAGGCCGTCGTTTCGACATAGCATGTCCACATATTAATCCTGTGCACAAGACCTGAAACGCGAACGGCCCGTGCACAGGCCGACTAATCCATAGGAAAATGAGCCGAGAGAACACAAAGATATCAATGCAATCGTCAGAAATGATCGTGTCGAATTCCAGTCCGTTAGATACGGTATAGCCCAGCGAAAAGCGAGGAGCGATGAAAAGCTGTTTGCGTTGTAACGCCGCGTCAGCACACCGGTCGAACGGCAGGCCGGCGGTTCCGGTCAATGGTTTAATACGTCGAGGTCTTCAATTGATTTATTACCTCAAAATCGTAATGTGGTCGTCGTAGAAAGACCTTTACAAGATACAAGCAAGTTGAACAAATAGTTCTCTTTGCAGTTAGTTTGCGCAAGATGAGAGCAAATGAATCCCAAAAAGGAAGACCGAAGGTTGTTAGGTCTGTTTGCCTCCGGGGCGTGAGCCACGACTGCACTGTGCTCAGAACGCGGCCTGCACATCCACGCCGTTCCTCACTCCAAAATCGACGCTCTCAGCACCCAAAACGTCCGCCATGAGCTTCAAAAAGGACGAGGAGACAGGCCTGGGATCTTACTACAACAACAAGACCACCGTTTTGCAAGAGGCGCGTGTGTTCAACGAGTCGCCCGTCAGCCCACGAAAATGTCGTGCTCTACTCACAAGAGTGGTCTACCTGTTATACCTTGGAGAGACGCTGGGGACACAGGAGGCCACTACGGTGTTCTTCAGCGCGACGAAGCTGTTTCAACATAAGGATGTAAGTTGTTTGGGACCAAATCAGGCCCATATAGCTGACTGTATGCCAGCCGGCGCTCCGTCAAATGCTCTATCTCGCGATCAAGGAACTCTCATCCGTCGCCGAGGATGTGATCATGGTCACTAGTAGTATCATGAAGGATATGCAGCCAAATTCCGAGGTCATTTACCGACCGAATGCAATTCGTGCGCTATGCCGAATCACGGACGTATGAGTCTTTATCCAGGCTGCGATACTTCATTCTGATAATATCGCGATGCAGGCATCCATGATGCAAGGTCTCGAGCGCTTCTTCAAGACCGCAATTGTCGACCGCAACGCATCCATCTCCTCGGCTGCATTGGTCTCCTCCTACCACCTCTTCCCCGCCGCGAAGGATGTCATCAAGCGCTGGGTGAACGAAGCGCAGGAAGCGATCAACGCCAAAACGGGTTCATTCTTTGGGATGTCCAGCGGAAGCGGCGGCGGATTCCTCGGGTACGGCGCACAACAACAGCAGGACAAGTTCCAGCCCCCACCCTCCACAAGCTACATCACCCAGTATCATGCTCTTGGTCTGCTCTACGCAATCCGGCAACAAGACCGGATGGCGATCACGAGGATGGTCCAACAGCTGGGAGGAAAGCCGGGCTCATCAGGCACACTCAAAAGCCCATTGGCCATCTGCATGCTCATACGTTATGCGTCGAAGATTATGGAGGAGGATCCCAAGTAAGCACCCTCTCTGCTGATCGTGAGCGCAGCTGACATGATTGCAGCATGCAACGACAGATGTTTGAGCTCCTCGAGGGTTGGCTTCGCCACAAGAGCGACATGGTCAACTATGAGGCCGCCCGTGCCATTTGCGAGATGCGGAATGTCACACCTCAACAACTCACGCGACCTGTCTCTGGTAAGTACGGGAACTATGCCGACGATTTTCTTCACTAACATGTTTTCCAGTACTCCAAGTCTTCCTCTCCTCCTCCAAGCCAACCCTCAAATTCGCCGCTATTCGCACCCTCAGCGCTCTCGCTCTAACTCACCCTGCTAGCGTCGCTACCTGCAACGTAGACATGGAGAACCTTATCACGGATTCGAACCGAAGCATCGCGACATATGCCATCACCACACTGCTCAAGACCGGCAATGAGGCGTCCGTCGATCGCTTGATGAAGCAGATCTCAGGGTTCATGACTGAGATCAGTGACGAGTTCAAGGTTATTGTGGTGGATGCCATCCGTTCCCTTTGCCTCAAGTTCCCCGCCAAGCAAGCATCTATGCTTACTTTCCTGTCTGGCGTGCTTCGCGATGAGGGCGGATACGACTTCAAGCGCGCGGTCGTTGAGGCTATTTTCGACATGATCAAGTACATCCAGGACTGCAAGGAGGTAGCCCTGGCCCACCTCTGCGAGTTCATCGAAGATTGCGAGTTCACAAAACTCTCTGTTCGCATTCTCCATTTGCTCGGTATCGAGGGTCCAAAAACACCCCAGCCAACGAAATATATTCGCTACATCTACAACCGTGTTGTTCTGGAAAACGCCATCGTCCGTGCTGCTGCTGTGTCAAGCTTGGCCAAGTTTGGTGCTGTGGTCAGTGATCTGGCTGTGAAGAAGAGCGTTGGTGTGTTACTAAGGCGGTGCCTGGATGATGTGGATGACGAGGTCCGGGACCGTGCTGCGCTTTACCTACACACGCTCGATGATGAACTTTTAGCGGAGAAGTATGTCAAAGACGGTACGCAGAACAGCATCAGATTTCACAAGCGTGTTCTGATACACGATTTAGATTCCGTCTTTTCCCTAGGAGCGTTAGAGGCTAAGCTGGTCGTTTACGTCAACGACGCTGATGCTGCTGAAGAACCATTTGATGTCTCCTCTATTCCCACCGTGAGCCGTGAGCAGGCGTTCCAGGAGACCGCCAGGCCCAGCTCGCTTGACACTATTGCCGCACCTACCGTAAAGGCGGCGACTGGTCCAGCACCCCCTGCCCCCACTGCTGCGCAGACAAAGTCCGCATACGCCGAACAGTTGGCGGGTATTCCAGAGTTTGCGGAGTATGGGACTGTGCTCAACAGCAGTTCTAAGCCCCAATCACTCACGGAGAGCGAGACCGAGTATATCGTCACGGTTGTCAAACACATTTTCAAAGAGCACGTTGTCTTCCAAGTACGTATTCGTCGGTCTTCATGAAGTTCATCCTGACACGTATATGCAGTTCAACGTCTCAAACACACTGCCTGAGACTGTCCTGGACCAGGTTTCTGCCCTTATGGTTGCAAATTCCGAGGGGCTAACTGAAAATTTCATCATCCCAATCCCTACCCTAACTTCCGCGACATCGCCGGGCATTGTCTACGTATCCTTCAGCCGAGACACACCTGAAGAGTACACCCTTGGCTCGTTCCAGACCTCACTGAAGTATGTTAGCAAGGAGGTGGACCCTGCCACAGGTGAGCCCGAGGAGGAAGGGTATGAGGATGAATATCAGGTCGAGGAGGTCGAGCTGGGAGCCGCGGACTACATCGTGCCCAATTACGTCAACTTCTCACAAGAATGGGAGCGATTGGGGCATGGGGCAACCGCGACAGAGACTTTCTCCTTGTCTGCGTTGGATAGCCTAAAGGGTGCGTTTTTCAAGAGCGATCAGTCGTTCGTTTCCCGAACTTACACATTTCCAAGCTGCGTGTGATTCCCTTATTGAGGTATTGAATATGGAACCCGTAGGTGGAACGGAAACGCCAGCATCGACTTCTGTGCACACGCTGAATCTCTCTGGATTAGTTACGGGAGGCGGGGGAAAGGTTCTTGCGCGTTCACGGATGACCTATTCTGCGGGACAAGGGGTAACGCTGGAGCTTTCGGTGCGCGCAGAAAAGGAGAGTGCATGTCAGCTCGTCATCTCCGCGATTGGCTAGTATACCCCGCATTCTCTGATAATATACTTACAAATCCCTTACTACTCTTATTTATTATCCTCCTGACCGCCCTTTCCCTTTCCGACATCGCCCGGGACGGTGTGTGGGGGAGACCAGGGACCTTGGCATCGGATGCTTGTGCTTTTCAGCGGGAAGTGGCGCGCACGACCGCAAGCACTTCCCATAAGAGCCGTCCGCAAACGGGCAATCCGGGTACGGCACACGCCCTCTCAGAGATTCTTTTCCAGCGAATGGGTTGTGGAGTACATTTCTCCTGATTGGCCTCTTCCAATTAGACAAAAGATATAAGTATGGCTGCTACCGCGGTCCCGGAGGGTCTGCGACGAGTGCAGCGCTCCAACAGCGCCAAGTACGATTCGATGCCCTTCCTCATTCCCATCCCGGAGGCGATCCAAGTCGATACGCGAGGCGCTGTTATCTTGCATGAGGAATCCCCAGAGGTGCGCATGTGTGGTACCGCTGAGCGAAGTCCGATTGACCAGATGTTGCAGACTCGAGATAGTAGAGGCATCTATCTACCCAATCATATAGAGCCTGTATCACACATTGCGGTTGATGTGAGTGGAACCGCATGGCATGGTTGTTAGATCGTACTCATATCCATTGATTAGATTGGTGGATCACTAGCCAAAGTTGTCTACTTCACACGTTCATCCGATGCCCCGTCAACACCACCGGGAACGAGTGGGCTGACTAATGGCTTTCATAATCACGGCAATGGCAATGGATACCATGATCATTTCGAACCTGAGGGAAGCACTGTGAAGTCGAATGGTACTCCGAACAAGCAACACCGGTTCAACGGGGCTCTTACACCATCCTCACTCGAGTCGCCTCCGCTCCCGAACTTTGGATATCAATTTGCCGATGAGCTCGTCCGGCGAGCGGCGATGAAGAACCTCCCTGGCGGTTCGCTGAATTTCGAACGTTTCCAGACGGAAGACATCGAGGAGTGCGTGGAGTTCATCCAAACGCTGATCGCCCAGAGTGCCGAGGCGAACGGCGTGTCGATCGAGGAGATGAGGAAGAGCGTCAAGATCATGGCTACGGGTGGTGGGGCGCACAAGTTCTACGATCTGTTCACCAAGCAGCTGGAGGTCGAAGTTCATAGAGAGGATGAAATGGAGTGCCTGATTAAGGGGTTGCGATTCATCACTCTTATACGGGGCGAGACCTTCTGGTACTCGGATGAACTGGTACAGAGCGTAACGAGACAGACGATTGAGCTTGAGCGGCCAAGCCCGACACCTCCTCAGTACCAAGTATCGTTTGAAGAACGTCCAACACCGCAGCTCCCATGCCTGTTGGTGAATATTGGCTCTGGTGTCTCCATTGTAAAGGTTGAGGCGGACGGCAAGTACGAGCGTGTGAGTGGTACCAGTTTGGGAGGTGGTACGCTTTGGGGTCTGCTAAGCCTGTTGACACCCGCTACGACCTTTGATGGTGAGCGGCATCGCAGACGTCATTACTTTCTTATCTGATATGTGCCTGACGATAGAGATGCTTGCCCTTTCAGAACAAGGTGACAACTCGGCAGTTGATATGCTGGTCGGCGATATCTATGGCCAAGACTACGGCAAGCTGGGCCTCAAGTCCACCACCATCGCGAGTTCCTTCGGCAAGGTCTTCCAGAAAGGGGTAAAGAGGTCATTTAAACCGGAAGACATTGCCCGAAGTTTATTGTATGCGATTTCCAACAATATCGGTCAGATTGCGTAAGCCTGCTCCACATCTGCTTCTTCATTGATACTGACCCTGGGTTCTGATGGGACAGATACATGAATGCTGAGAAGTACAACCTGGAACGAATATACTTCGGCGGGTGCTTCATCAGAGGTTTGTTTTCTCCATACTCCGGCGATGGCGGCCCGATGTTGATCTTTTTCTTCTCCAGGCCATGCCGCAACCATCGCGACGCTATCGTATGCTATTCGTTTCTGGAGCAAGGGGAGCAAGCGTGCACTGTTCCTTCGGCACGAGGGATTCCTGTACGTCTCACTTTCATGCGCTCCAAACTCACCGGTCCTGTGATCATGCACTAACATGGCTTTGATTAGGGGTGCCATTGGCGCATGGATCAAGAACATCGAGCCACCTCATGCGATGTAGGATGGTCTCATTAGTAGGCAGGGTCAATGGGATGGCACTGTATAGCACATGGACAATGGTCATGTACAATAATAATGATATCTATCTGCAATCTCCGTGACTCTTCAGTCTCCTCGTTCTCCCGATGGAGATACTAGCTACGCCGCCGGAGGTCGATACCGCACATCTGGAGGGGCTACATCAGCGTCACGAACCATCTCAGGTGTAGAGTGTTCGTTTTGGTCTGATAAAGCTAGCTGAGCTCCCGAGTTGTTCGCGCCTTCTCCACTACCGCCATGGCCGTCAGATGATTCCGATTGGACCTCACTTGTGGCGTCACTCTCAGTGCCTTCATCACCGTCTTCACCGTCGCTGTCGTCTTCGCCATTATCTTCGCCATTTGAATCCTCTGCGGTTGACGCATCGCCGCCCCTTTTCACAGTGAATACACCCAGCCCCAGGTTCTGCAGGGACCACATCAGATCCTCTTCTACGTACAGAAGAATGTCGAATACCATTTCAATGTGTGCTGGGACCATACCCTCCTCGGTCGGTGTAAGATGCTCGATGTCAATGCTGTTGGGATCCCGAGCCGCTTGATCTATTAGCGCGTCATTTGACGCCTTCAGAGAGGGCAAGAACGCATCCAATCGAGAAATCACTGAGCAACTATGAGAAAAAAGATGAATAGTAGTGATTGTGTGGCTAACGATTCGAAGTTGTCTCCATCGTGGGCAACGGTTCATTCAACCGCCCCAGTCGAAGTGGTAATTCCCGTTGAGTGTTCCAGCTATCACTTCGGGCTTTAGTTGCTGATGATGACCGTAAATGTTCAGACGCTTTTTGCTCAAGAAGATTCCCTGAAAAGACTAATCAGCAAATGACAAAAGTGAAAGATTAAACGGTCCGTCGGAGGATATGTACCTAATCGGGATTCTCTCGCATCATCATCCTCGACTTCCAGCAATTGCACGGATCGCGGTGCCTTGCTGCGCGTCTTGAGCTTCTTCTTTGTCGAATTTTGCGGCGCCATCTGAAATACGCAGGATGTTCGCAAAAATCTGAGCTGGTGATGGTGGTGTTCGCGAATAGGAAAAGTGGCGCTGATCACCGGCACGCTAAGCGCCCGCACCTGATGGGGTAAATGCAGATGGAGTCATCTTCCAAGCGGAATTGGTTTGTGCTATGTGTATGTATTGCATTCGTGTATTCAAGTGGATAGCGGTACAGCATATTGTATCAAAGAAAGTCGATGCATGAAAGGAATTAGTCAGCTTCAATCCTCTGCAACCCTTGCCTCCCACTGCGCCTCATTCGTTCCTCCAGACTCATGTCACCACCGACCATCCTCATCTCCTCCCTCTCAAGGAAACTAGCCTTGCTTCCCTTGCGTCTCGCTTCTTCAGCGGCAGCCTCAACCTTCTCCTGCTCAAGTAGTTTCTCCAGTCGCTCTTTCCGCTCTTCTGTGAGTCGGACCGCGGAGGTCGACATGGCAGCAAGGCGTGCTGCACGATCACGCTCGAGGTCCTCTACGCTGCGACCAGCGGGACGCGATGGGGGAGATCGGTGAGGTGGGGACACACGCCTCCTTGGTGGTGGAGATCTTTCACGAGGCGGCGGAGAACGACGTGAATACGGTGATCGATCGCGTTCACGAGGTGGTGGGGAGTCATCCGAAGCACGACGCCGCGGAGGGGATCGACGGGGAGGGGAGCAGGCATACCGTTCCTCTCGATTGCGGCGAGGAGAAAGAGAGCGCCTGTCGTAATAGGGTGAATCCGACCGACTGTCGCGTCGTCCACGGCTATATGCGCGGTCCCGGTCGTCGTCGCGATTGCGGCTGCGATCATAATCCCTTTCACGACGGTACCCATTGGATCGCCTCCGATCATCGTAGTCATCCTCATCTGTCTCATCACTCCTGCGCTCGTCCCGGCCCCTTTCTCTCCCCCTCTCTGCCCGTCGCTGCTCCTTCCGTTTGCGCTTCTCCTCCTTAGCCTTCTTCTTGTCATCTTTGATACCAGCCTTCTCCTTCAGCTGTTTCAATCGCAGTGGGTTACTCATCAAGGCTTCATAGGCAGCTTGCTCTTGCCGCTTTATCGCGAGAAGAGGGTCATCGCGAATTTTGGCGGCAGTATCGCGGGCGGTGTTGGCATTTTGCACTGCAATGAAGTTCTTGTGAGAGGCTCCAACCTAATAATATACAATTAGTACGTGATGCAAAACCACAAGAGCAAGCTATCACACCTTCTCGTTCTCATTCCCGATGAGGATTTTATCGACCCGCTTCTTACCCAGCAAGTAATCCTCAAGGTCGTTGGCGTTGGCACCAGTACCTGTGGAAGGTGTGGCATACATCCACTCGAGCTTTTCCGTCCTTTTCTTTCCTGTCTGTTCTTCCTGCAATCTCTGCAGTTCTTGGAGTTGCCTTTCTTCTTCAAGCTCCTTTCGCAGCTGGTCAAGTTTCTTCTTCTCTGCCAGTGCCTTCTTCTCCTCGAGCCACACCCTCTCCTGATTCTTGAGTAGGAGAGGGTGCCACGACTTCTTCATGTTGAGATCTCCACCACCCATTATTACTGAAGTTCAAAGGATTCGAAGCCGCTTGGCAGGTAGATATCTTGATGAAGTACGAGGAGGAAGGAGGGCGCTAGAGCAAGATGAGAACGGTGTTGACACACAAGATGAGTCTAGAGGTTGTTTTGATTCCGCTTGCTTCCATTTCCTTCCGTGAAGCTTAGCTTAGCGAGCTCAAGTTTGGCGCGCTCTCTCTCGTCGCCATCGGGCTGCTTTGAGTGACTGACGACCACCTCAGTATCGTTGTATACGCCTCAACGTCACCTGTATTCCTTGCATTCGCCGCTCGTACAGTTTTTTCTGCGCCGGCGAACGATTCGAAAGGACAACTGTAGGATTCTGGACCATGAGCACAGGTACATGGTCTTTGTTGCGGTTGGTCAATAAACAGTGTTTTCATCATCATGTGTAGACTACGACGCGCAGGGGTATGACCCCTACGGTGCAGTTGGCGACACGAAATACGCCGATGGGTCAAATTATCAGCCATACGCAGATGTGAGAATGGGGGTCGACAGTGCAGATGGGTTGCAGACAGAGGAGGGCTACGAGGGAATACCAGAAGGGCCGCTCAGTCAAGAGGACTGTTGGCAGATCATCACGTCCTTCTTTGAGGAAAAGGGTCTCGTGCGGCAACAGCTTGATTCATTTGATGAATTTGTCCAGAACTCGATGCAAGAGGTCGTCGATGAGAGTGGCGAGTTGATCCTAGACCAAGCCAACCAGCACTCCGGACGAGAGCTGGATGAGACGGTTAGTCATCATGCAGAATACCGTGAGGCAATGTTGATACGGGGCCGGCACAGAAACGCTATGAGCTGTCGTTCGGCCAAATCTACCTGTCACGTCCAAGCACAATGGAGCCGGACGGTTCGAATTTACCGATATTTCCGCAGGAGGCCCGCCTGCGCAATCTCACATACTCCGCTCCCCTGTACATCGATGTGAAAAAACGTGTCTTAAGTGGTCGTGAAAATCCGGAAGATGTGAACGGCGAGATGATTTGGGAATCCCAGAATACAGACGCGGACAAGGAAATACACAAGATTTGGGTGGGCAAGGTGAGCAGCCAACCAGACGGATAGAAGAATGTCCCTGAAAACAAAACAAAGGTACCCGTGATGCTACGATCTACTTTCTGCATTCTTTCTGGGCTGAGTGATGGTGATCTATACGATCTTAATGAATGCCCTTACGACCAGGTGAGCTGACTGATATGAGGGATTGTCAGAGTATTCATATCTTCCAGGGTGGCTACTTCATCATAAACGGTTCCGAAAAGGTCTTGATTGCGCAAGAGCGTATGGCGGCGAACCATGTCTATGTTTTCGCAAAAGCACAACCGTCGCCCATCTCCCATCTGGCAGAAATCCGAAGCCAGGTTGAGAAGGGTGGCAAGCAGATTAGCTTGCTGCAAATCAAAATGACACACCGGAATCTAGAGAAAAGCGTATGTGGTCCGTCTTCATATCCATTCGCAGCGGACTGACCTTTCCCATAGACTGGATCGCTCATGCGCGCCCAACTGCCCTATATCCGGAATGACATCCCCGTTGTTGTTGTCTTCCGCGCGCTCGGTATCGTCCCAGATCGTGATGTGCTAGAGCACATTTGCTATGATCCCGAAGATCACGCGATGCTTGAGATGCTGAAACCTTGCATTGAAGAAGCATTCGTCATTCAGGATCGCGAGGTCGCACTGGATTACATCGGTCGTCGTGGTACCACCACCGGCCTGTCTCGGGACAAACGTCTCCGCTATGCTCAGGAGATTCTCCAAAAGGAGATGCTACCGCACATCTCAACGCAGGAGGGCGCCGAGTCGAAAAAAGCGTATTTCTTTGGATACATGGTCCACCGTCTCGTTCTTGCAGCGCTTGATCGTCGTGAGCTCGATGATCGTGACCATTTCGGCAAGAAACGTCTTGACCTCGCCGGCCCGTTGCTTGCAACCTTGTTCAGGATGCTGTTCCGGAGATTGACGAAAGATGTATACAGATACATGCAGAAAGTGAGAGCTCTCCATCGTTGTGATGATGTACGCATGCTTATATCTTTTTTCCCTAGTGTGTCGAGACTCACCGTGAATTCAATATCAACGCCGCCGTGAAACCAGCGACTATCACCAACGGCCTGAAGTATTCCCTGGCCACCGGTAACTGGGGCGACCAGAAGAAGTTCATGCAGGCAAAGGCTGGTGTGTCGCAAGTGCTTAACCGTTATACCTTCGCGTCCACTCTCTCCCATCTGCGGAGAACGAATACTCCTATCGGTCGTGATGGCAAGATTGCTCGTCCACGACAGCTGCACAACACCCATTGGGGCATGGTATGTCCCGCCGAAACACCCGAAGGCCAAGCATGCGGCCTGGTTAAAAATCTTGCTCTCATGGCTTGTATCTCCGTTGGCTCGCTTTCTCAACCCGTGGTCGAGTTCCTGGAGGAATGGGGCCTCGAGCCCCTCGGCGATCAAACAAATGAGACAATAACAGCAACCAAAGTGTTCGTCAATGGTGTATGGATGGGCATTCATCGCAATCCCCAACATCTCGTTGAAACTGTGCGGACTTTACGGCGCAGCGACGGTATCAGTTCCGAAATATCTGTCGTGCGCGACATCCGCGAACGAGAACTTCGGCTTTACACTGACGCTGGCCGTGTGTGCCGACCACTCTTCATCGTTAACGAAGGGACGCAAGACTTGGTTATAGGGAAGAAAGAAATCAATTGCCTACAGAACCGAGTGGATGATGAAGGTCAACCGTACGGGTGGTCACAACTGGTCTCCAGTGGCATGGTCGAATTGCTCGATGCGGAGGAAGAAGAAACAGTCATGATAGCAATGACACCTGAGGATCTCGAGGCCAGCAAGACTAAACGTGGTACTGGTTATATCAGCAATGAGCCGCAAAATGCGGCTGTGCGCATTAAATCCATAGTACACCACGAGCATTGGACGCACTGCGAGATCCACCCTAGTATGATTCTTGGTATTTGCGCTTCTATCATTCCCTTCCCAGATCACAATCAGGTCTGTCTGTCCTTATTCGCCGTCGTGTTCTATTCTGAGTTTTTCCATAGTCACCTCGAAACACATATCAATCTGCCATGGGTAAGCAAGCGATGGGCATATACTTGACTAACTTCCAAGTGCGGATGGATACGATGGCGAACATTCTTTATTATCCACAGAAACCGCTAGCGACAACGCGTTCGATGGAGTACCTCAAATTCCGAGAGCTTCCAGCTGGCCAAAATGCCATCGTAGCCATTCTCTGCTATTCTGGATACAATCAAGAAGATTCCGTTATTATGAACCAGTCCTCCATTGATCGAGGTCTCTTCCGGAGTATATATTATCGCTCATACACAGACATGGAGAAATCTACCGGTGTTGTGCCGATCGAAGAGTTCGAGAAGCCGCATCGCGATACTACAGTCAGGATGAAACACGGTACGTACGAGAAGCTGGAAGCTGATGGCCTAGTCGCACCTGGCATTGGTATCAATGGCGAGGACATTATTATTGGGAAGACAGCACCACTCCCTCCGGATTCGGAAGAGCTTGGTCAGAGAACGCGAACGCACACACGCCGTGATGTTTCGACACCTCTCAAGAGTACTGAAAACGGCATTGTCGATCAAGTACTCCTCAGCACGAACGAAAACGGTGTCAAATTCGTTAAAGTCCGCATTCGCTCTACGCGTATACCTCAGATTGGCGATAAGTTTGCATCTCGTCACGGTCAAAAGGGTACGATCGGCATGACTTATCGACAGGAGGACATGCCATTTGCAGCGAACGGTATTACCCCCGACATTGTCATCAATCCACATGCTATTCCTTCACGCATGACAATTGGCCACTTGGTCGAATGTTTGCTGAGCAAGCTTGCTACCTTGATCGGGAACGAAGGTGATGCAACCCCGTTCACAGATCTAACAGTCGAATCAGTCTCATCCCTCCTGCGCAACAAAGGATATCAGCAACGTGGACTCGAAGTCATGTATCACGGCCATACTGGTCGCAAACTGCAAGCTCAGGTCTACTTGGGCCCAACCTACTACCAGCGATTAAAGCACATGGTCGACGATAAGATTCACGCTCGTGCCCGTGGACCAGTTCAGATCATGACGAGACAACCAGTCGAAGGTCGTAGCAGGGATGGCGGTCTTCGTTTCGGGGAGATGGAGGTATGGGTTAGGTTCCGAGTCTCATCCGCAAATGACTCACAATGTCTTAGCGCGATTGCATGATCTCGCACGGTGTTGCATCCTTTTTGAAGGAAAGGATGTTCGATCAGAGTGACGCTGCACGTTTGCATGTCTGTGATATGTGTGTTCTTCTCGTTATTACTTCTTGGTTGGTAGTGCTTACAAGCATTTGCAGTTGTGGGTTAGCGTCCATTGCAAACCTGAAGAAGCAGACGTTCGAATGTCGGGCATGCAAGAACAAAACGCGCTCTACTCAATTCTATATTCCGTACGCGGCGAAGCTTCTTCTACAAGAACTTCAGGCGATGAACATCGCACCACGCATGTATGCGACCTCCACTGGAAGGACACGCCAGTCAGCGATGAATGGCATATAGAATAGTTAATTATGTATGCTGTATGTGATAGTTACGTTTTACGTGCATGATCACACTGGGCGAAATGGCTGTCGACCGCTGTAAAATTTTTTTGAGTGAGTGTGTGGTTTGTGGCAAAGAAAAGTTTCGCCTGGTTTGTGCGCCGTTTTTCCTCCGACTTCTGTGCGGCACACGTCACAAACCTCTCCTCTCTCGATCGGTTGTGTCAACCCCCTTTTTGCACTGGGGATCTCAGATTTCTCTTGTTTCATCAAGCGAAACCGTGCCCACGATCGACGACTAGCGGTGGACAACTCCGCAGCCTGTTTCGCCGTCGACCGAATCTATACGGATTCCTTTGACATCTGTGACCGACCTGAAGCGGCTTTCCAACCAGGCAGTACTCTCCAATCTTTGAGTCCCACATCCAAGTCGCGTTCAAGTTGTGTCGACAAAGCAGCAAAGCGCGTCGCTGTCGACGAAATCGGCGGGATCATGGAGGGTGCACGGCCTACCAAAGAATGTGAAGACTACAACATGAGCGACGTCACCCTCTTTCCTAGTTCTGTGGACGTCTCAATGCTTCATGAGCTAGACATCGATGTACCTAGTGCTTCCCAGGCTTTATCAGACTGGATACGGATAACGTTCACTATTGATAAGAGCAAACTTCGCGTTGTACGCTTGCTCTCGTGCTTCTTTCTTGGAATCGGATATTGATACGGTATCTTGGCTAGCCTTCTGATGGAGACATAAACAAATGGGCGAACGCATGGAAGGAAGAAGATGGGATGACTGTATCCGATATCGCGGATGAAACTGAGGTATGTAAGACTCCCTTGGGAAGCAACGCGCTGAGGCGATACACATACACAGGCGGCACTGCACGAATGCAAGCTGATGACGTTCACTGTGAAAGAGGACGCAGAGACAAAACTTGCGGAGAGAATACTGGACACAATTTTGCAGGTGGTTTGGAAATATGAGTCGAACGCGTTTCGCCCGCATCAGCGTGAAGCAATGATCGCGGCGATACAAGGTCATAATATTGTGATACGGTTGCCGACGTGTGTTGTTTCCCGCTTATATGCAAAGGTTGATATAACAGCACCGACTCGCAGGGGGGCGGGCAAGAGCCTCTGTTATCAAGCACCAGCGTTATATCCAGTATCCAAGTCCAAACATGGGCCCCGTCAACCCGTGACAATCGTCATCGAGCCCGCTATCTCACTGATAGAGGACCAAATTAATCATTTATGGGAGCGAAAAATAAAAGCTGTGGGGTGAGTCAGCCCAGCGACTCATAGACCCATCTTAGATTGTTGTAGGTTCAATCACGGGCAGTCGCAACGAGAACAGGCTGGCTTGAAACGGCAGGTCGACGAAGCTCGCTTACTGTACATAACACCCGAACGACTCACGAAGGGAAAGCTGTTTTCGAACGAACTTCAAGAACTCTACGAGGAAGGTTGTCTGACACGGTTTGTGCTCGACGAGGCACATTGCATTTCTCAGGCAGGCTAGAGAATGAAGAGTATCCGGCAAGCAAGGCTGACTGAACCATTTAGTATGGATCTTCATTTCGACCAGACTACCTCGACCTGCTGGATTTGATTAGTAATAGATATCCCGACGTACCTATCACGCTTCTAAGTGAGTGACCTGGTAGGTGCTTGCGTTTGCATGGCGATAACGACATGAACAGGCGCTACTTTCACATCGGACACACTCCAAGATTCTCTGAACAGATTAAAACTACCCAGTGCCTACTTATTTGAAGGCGACCTTGACCGGACCAATCTTCATTGGGAGGTCCGACACAAAAGCGCTTGCATCAAAGACATCTTGGAAGGGAGGAGACATGAACATGTGGAGTATATAGAGGACATGACGGGAGTTATTGCTGCAGAGATCGCAGCAGGACGTTCTTGTGGCATTGTATACAGTGCAACGAAGATCAACTGCGAGAAAATTGCTGAAAGTGAGTATCCGAAACTGCGACGGATGGTTCCTGCTGTCTGAATATCTCTTGAAGCTTTACGTCAATGTGGCATTTCGGCGCTCCATTACCATGCCCGGCTCTCTGGTGAAGAACGACGTCGTGTACAGATGAGCTGGCAAAAGGGATTTGCAGATGTCGTTGTGGCCACCGTGAGTGACGTCGCGAAGTATTTCACAACTTTGCTCACTCGCTCTGCAGACTGCATTCGGTTTCAGTTGCTTGATCCAGTGTATCTGAAAAGTAGCTGAACTACCCTCAGATGGGTATAGACAAGCCGGATGGCAAGTCACGATATCCACATTGCAGAACGGATCGAGGACTGATCATGCATGTACAGTCCGCTTCGTCATCCATGCAAGCGTTCCTCAGTCGATGGAGGCATTCTACCAGGAAGCAGGCCGTGCAGGACGAGATGGCAAACCATCAAGATGCATCATGTGTAAGTCAGCCCCGAAACAGAGGAGGTGTAATCTCACTCTATTAGATTATGACTACAAGGACGTACTTGACTGGATAAGCATCACCAGCAGCAAAAAAGGAGAACTGGATTCGGGTACATGCGAAGACCTGCAGAAAGTTGTCAATTACACAGAAGACGATGCGACTTGTCGACGCGTCCTCATCCTTCGGCATTTTGGCGAAAACAATTTCGACCCCGCGGCATGTATGGGTACTTGCGACAACTGTGCTGAGCAACGTACAGCCGGAGAAAAGAATAACGCTGGGCATCACGCCGTTAACCTCATGAAGTTGCTCGAAGAAACACAGCACAGACCGACTTCCGTAGCACAGCTACAAGCAGCGTACAGGGGTAGTTCCGGCAAGATGCTCACCAAGGACTACGTCGTTGCTGTCATCCACCAGCTTCTCAGCAAACAAGTCTTCCGTTGCTATCTACCAGAGAGGCGGACAGCTGAAGGCAGAAATTCGTTTGCCAGTGGTCGTATGGCTCTTTGCTTGAAGGTATGATGCTGTCTATTGTCTACGAAAGAGAGATGATGACATCCTTGTAGATCGGACCAAGAGCTGACCATTTGAAGGAGCTATCGATTCTGGTGTACGACAATATACGCATGGATAAGTCTAAACCTTCCAGAGCAAGCAAGCGCCAAATGAAAGTAGAATCGGGTTCTGAATCTGAATGGAGCAGTTCCTGAGACCCCAGTCACGTCGACAGCGCAATTATGGGTTACCCAGTCATAGGAGGATCAGAAGGCTGGATAAGGTGCAGTGGTCATCAAAATCGATATCATTCATACAGGAGGGCGTGCCGCGGTTTAATATGACACATAAAAACAATATTTTTTTTAAATAAAAATTAAACATAAAAAAAAAAAAATTCCCTATTGGGATTCAAACCCAAATTACCATTTTAGAAGAATGAGCTTTACCTTTATTAGATACCACTCGATTAAGAGGAAATCAATTTAGACCTTTTATGAAATTTGGATTTTGATTCTTTGTAGTAGCTTTTTTCATTCTAATGTGAATTGGAAGTCAACATCCTAATACACCTTATTTAGAAATTGGACAAATTTTTACAGCTTATTATTTCTTACATTTTTTATTTATAACACCTGTTTCAGGTATAATTGAAAATAGTTTACACGATGTAAATGCTCATATTTTAACCCTTAAAGGAGATTCACAATTAGTTTCAAACTATAAAAAAACAATCATATAAAGAATATGAATTGGTTTAAAAAAGGGGTATGATACGCCTACTTTACCTGAAAATATTTTAAAATTTCAAATGCATCCTTTTATAAGAGTTTTAAGATTTTCAGGGGGAGTAAGTATTTTATTATTATTAAGTAATAGTAAATTTAATGGCTTTATACATATTTATGTATTATATTTGTTATTATTTATAGGTATTTTATTTATGATTTATCATTTTATAATAGCATATTATAGAACTATTTATATATATAAATTATTAAAATCTGATCAGTTAAATGTAGTAAATTCACCTTTTGATCGTTTAGCTACTTTAATAGCTAGAGCCTTAATATGTGCCAAAGGTGTTTGCGATGATGCTCAACCTGTTGCAGTCGTATTAGGTATTATGTTAGGTGCTGATGATATTTTAAAAGCTGGGGATAGACTTCCTTTTTTTGCTCCACTAATGGCCAGTATTTTTGTACCTTCTGAATCAGAAACTTTAAAATTTAAAAGATTTGTAACTAAAAAATTGTCAGAAATCTCTGCTAATAAAGAAGATTCTTTGATTCTTAATGAATTAAACAAATCTTTAAAAGAAGCGCAAATTACAGGTGGTTTAAATATTTCGGAGTATGAAGAATTTAGATCTTTAGTAGATGAGCAACTTTTAAATATTGATACTAAAAGAAATGAACTAATGAAGGCAATAAATGATATAAGAAATAAAAAATAAGGGGGCTAATATATTATTCTATTAATTAAGCTTTAGGCTTTTTTATAATTTTTAATTTTAAATTTTCATTTTATTTATTTTTTTTTTAGTAATTTCTGCAGCTGTTATATTTTATTTAACTAATATTTTTATATATAAAATATTAACCCTAATTTAATAAAATAAAAATGATTCAATAAATTCAAGAGAAAATGAATCATTATTCTAT